TTACAGGTTCAGCCCTGAATCCTTGCTAATTTAGAAATGAGATATTTAAAACCTTCCAGCAGAGAAATGGCGTTCAGTTGAGAGCTGCAGCATTTACGTTTAACTTGCAAAGATAATGTCATTGTAAAGGCATGCTTTCTCTTTTGAAAAGTTGCTCCAGGCAGTTTATAAAGGTTTTTTAAAATATATGAGTTACCTTTATTCTCCGTCATGAAGAGCTGGGCCCATGATAGCCAGAATATCTGGTTCTGCCTATGGATTGGTATGAAAAGACCAGCACGTTCCATGTAAAACACAGTAAAATCCACCAAAAATTGACTTCCTACAAAGAGAGGCAGGAGGGGCTGAGAGTGTATGGTAAAACTTTCATTAACTTACGTTGCCTGCCATCCACGACTCCAAAGCCGATGGCCAGAGCTTGGGGCTCATTTGGGATTTGCCGCACTCCTCCTTTTGCCAATTCACATCTGCATTTCCCTCTGCTTCTAAATTTGAGAGTGTAGGGAGAAGGAGACAGTGTTTTGGCTTGAAATTTCTTGTGCCTCCTTTCAGGCCCAACTTATTTCTGTTGCTGGAAACCTGAAACAGGTTTGAATTCTCAGCAGATATTTTTATCCCTTGAAAAAAAAAATTGGTCTTCCTCATTCAGAGCTGATTCTTTTAATACAAACTGCATAAATCAATATATCTAGTCCAAGGCATTAGTATTTCCAAAACTGACTGCATAGATATTGTAGCATGTTTTCCAAGTGAGAAGGAAAAAGTTTAAAAATAAAGATGAAAACTCTCAAACACGGCTATCTGTAGATGAGCTTTTAAATTCACATTTATTCCATGCTCCAAATTCCTTTGAAGTCAGTGGAAAGCATCCACTAACTTTAATAGGTGTTCACTCAAAGTGAGATAGAAATAGCAGAGCAAACTGATACAGGAACACCCACCCTGGGTGTGCTGGAAATGCTATTGAAAACACAAGAGACAACAAGATGAAGTCTCTCGCCGCGTTGTCTAGTTGTACTTTTCTTTTTCTGTATTGTCCTGGGCCTGTCACTTCTTTCTGGACACGGATGAGAAAAAGTTTTCTCATCTCTCAGTATTATTGAAGGTAAAGAGACTGAAAAAGGTCTCCATTTCAGATGGAGGCGGAGAAAAAGTTATTTTTACAAACTGAAGTACTGGTAGATGAATGGAAATAATTCTTTTAAATGAGTTCATGTTTTCATTTCAATTTCTGATTTTTCCAGATTATATTTTTAACTTAGAATGACTGTAGGTTTTGAAACAAAACATCTTTTAGAACACCATCAGAGAAATACCAGATTTTTTTTTTCTTTCAAGACTGCTGAAGGGAATACTTGGACTATTTGGAAACTGTTCTCCCAACATTTTTTCCAAACACCAAAAAGGTCTTAAAACCAGCCCTGCTCATTTTGGTAAGTCAGCATTTCTGAAAGGAAAGTGAGAAAGGGGAGTTATGGTGGTAAATCCTCCTGAGGTCTCCATCTCTCTGCCTTTCTCCCTCTCTTAAAAAAAAGGGTCCTGCAGACACTTGCCTCTCTGGGCACATTCACTTTTACAAAGTTGTGTGTGGTTTCTCCTTTGAAACATCGTTGGGCCTTAGGCAATAGAGGGCTTTGCCTAGACATTCAAGTGACCATCAGTTGACCCATATTGAAAACCTTGCTGCGGTTGCGGCCACGCTAATATTTGTCCTTGCTGCTGCCTGTTATCATTTAATGTGAGTGCTTGGTAGCCTCAATCAGGGGATTAAATCAGGTCAGTTTTATTATTGAGAATGATTCCAGTGCTGTTTATCCACTTTTGAGTAATAGTTTTCAAAAATGTATCTCTTCCTGAAAGGACTAGTGACTGCTTCTTTGTGTAGTTAAACTCATTTTACTTTTCTTTCCTGAGCACTTTATGCAGGCCTCCTATGAAGAAAGAGGAATTGTTCATCCATAGCACAATTTTGGGTCGTATCTTTCTCTGAAAACCCACCTGAGCCAAGGCCATTGTGTAAAACATAAGCCCAGCCTATTGGAGCTGCTATCAGGCATTTCATATAGCCCATGGTATTGGGAAGATCTAAATTAGAGCGGACACTAACGCCACGCGTGTTACTTGTTTCGTGCTGGAAGAGTCCCAGGCCAGCTTGCAAATCTGACAGCTTCCAGCAGAGTTTTACATGGGGAAAAAATTATGTACTTGTATGCACTGGGGAAGGATGCCCACGTTGGCTGCACCAGTAAAATCAAGGTTTCTGTTGGACATGAGGACTTCTTTCCCCCTGCAAATTAATGACGACCAATGGCTGAACCAGCACGGTAGACATAAATCATTGGAAGAACAGCAAGAAATGAGTACAAGGCTTTTCTTTCTATTTAGTAATTTATCAAGGGAAGTGGCACATTAATAAACAGATCTCCCTTGAGGTGTAGGAGTAACAGAGATAAATATGACTGTCAAATCTGGCCTGCTTCCTTCTGTTAGAAAAGGAGGAGACTGTGGGAATGCAAATGCAGAAAACAATATCTGTAGCTGGAAAGATGTATATTAATTGTAGAATGGAAAACACTGACAACCCAGCTACGATGGAGCCCCATCGTATGAGGCACAGTATGTACAGAGTAAGACACAAACTCTGTCTCAAGTAACTTGTCTAAATAGATTGCTAGACCCAGAAACTAGATGCAACTTATTCAAGGTCATATGTCTGAGGAGGACAGGGAACAAGACCCAGGTCTCCCCGGGCCTTGCCCATGTACTGGATCAAGATGCCTTTTGGCCAGGGTAAACAAAAAGGCAAGTTTAATTGCTTAGAATCAAATACATTAATATGTTATAGAGAGGGCACAGTTTTCAGCATTATGATATGGACCCAAATCAGAGCTAAACTGAATTTTTAAACTTTGAGTTGCTTTGTTTCCTGAACCAGGTGGTAAATTTGGGAATACTCCAGTTGAGCCTTTAGGCAAGGCCAGCCTTTGCTTAATGAGTCCATTTGCTCCTTGTGTTTTTGCTTCCATAATGCCTCTGCAAAACTGCTGCTCCTTTCCCAGCTCCCAAGAGAAGTGCCACTTACCACAGCAGAGCGGGACTGGAAACTGCAAACCTCAAGCATTAGAAAAATGTGAGTTCAGCCCCTACAAATTATGGGACAGGGTTAACAGTCTGGAGAGCTTTTCCAATTTTTTTTAACAGACGGTTGTCTGCTCCCTTGTGTTTGCTTTTTGCTTCAGGAGTCTTCCAAGTCATGTGTTCAGGGTTCTCCCTGCCCTGTGAGACTGCAAAATGCAGTTATTGTACAAAATACTGTAAGAAAAGAAGTGTTCGGTGCATAGGCAACACCCTGATTTTTAGGAGAAACTCCCAGTAGTGTTGGTCTTGCAGTAAAGGCATGGAAGATAGCAGCTCTTGAAGCCTTTTAGATACAGGACAGTAGTCACAAGAGTGCTTGGTTCAAGTGTTAACTTAGCCTTGGACTTCCAGCTTGACCTTGGGCAAGTCATTTAACGAGTGCAGTAAAGGACATTACAGGCAGCAAGGCAACAGTGATACTAAACCCCATTAATTAAGCTGTACTCAGACATGGTAATGATGGAGCCCTTCAGTACGCGGATGAGTCATGGACACTAGGAGACTGAAATCCAGCCACCAGGCCCAGGGAAATGTTGACACAAATTTCAGCAAGCCGACACAAATGGAGGAACTAATTGGTCACGCCAGCAGGATGTATTTTACCTCCTTGTACATCCCATTCACGCTGTCTCGTGTCGGCACTGTCTGCGGGACAGGAAGCTCATTCGCTTGCAAAGTGCTGGGCTCATGTTCGGTGATATGCGATGTGATAACCATCTAGGGGAAAGGAGCTCGTGTTGCCATCTTGGGAAGGTGCTGGTTAATTCACAGTCTTTAATAGAGTATATCTACAACAGCTCTGCAAGGCAGCTTTCCCAGGAGATCGTCCCTGGAAAAGCCGGGTGGTGACACAGTGCAGAGCTCACCGAGGGAAGGAGCTTGGGAACTTGAGTGCTCTGGACACTCGGGTGGATCACCGGGAGCCTAGCGTGGAACTGCAGGGAAATGAATGGCCAAGTGGCAGATTTTACCCTTAGATTTTTTTTTTTAATTACCCATTACATGACAGCTGCTGTCAATACTTTGGAGAGACAAGCAGATCCAAACAGGACTAGAGCTCAGGCAGGCTTTGGATCCGATGCTGTAATATCAGGGAACATAGTGATATGAACCCTAGGTTGTGCCTTCCTGCTGGCTTGCAGGTGCCTTAAGCCGGGGCAGAATTTCCCCTCGGTGAAGTCAGTTGTTCCAGTTAGCCATGCTGAAATGCAGGGGGAGGCCAAATTAGTGCCGTAGTAATTTGCTGTATGTTTGCGATGCACAAACAGGACGGGCAGAGTTGGAAATGACTTCATGCCCGCCTGATTGACAGTTGTTAATAGGGTCCAGGCACCATCCGATCCCCTTGGAGGGGAAGAGCTTGAACTTTGTGCCTGGGCTGCCAAATTGGTTTTCTTAAAACTCTTAATTTGCTGTAGGGGCTGCGGGGGCCTCGCCGCGTGGTTAATTGGATGGCGAACGCTGCGCTCGCGCCGTCTCATTTCCGCCTCGGCCGCGCACGAGTGCCCTGCACCGCGGCCCCGCTCCTCTCGCCACCGAGTCTGCGAGAGCCGCCGCGCTCGCAGGAGTCTGCGGGGGCTTCTTCCCTTTTAAATTAATTTAGTGCTGGTGAAAGGGGGTGATTGACAGCCCTGTGTTTATCCTCCAAGGAGCACGGAGCAGGTGAGCGTCGGTACAGCCTGACCCATGTCACTCAGCGCAGCCCAGAGAGGAAATCTCTGATCAAAGGGCAGCTGGTCCCTGCTCCACTCCCTCTTCCTAAGCTGCCCGATGCGGTCGGCATCACCCCTCACGGGAGCCAAGCCACCACGCTGATGACATGACAAAGCTCATGCTTTTCTTTCCCCTTCTCTTTCCTACAGTGTCACGATTTTCAAGCCCACGGGTGACTCCGAGATTAAGCCGGAAGCGAGCCCTCTCCATCTCCCCGCTCTCCGATGCCAGCATCGATCTTCAGACGATGATCAGGACGTCCCCAAACTCGCTCGTGGCCTATATTAATAACTCCAGGAGCAGTTCTGCAGCAAGCGGCTCCTACGGCCATTTGTCTGCGGGGACAATAAGGTAAAGCTTTTGCAGCAGCCACGATCACCTCGCCAGCACGACCAAAACTCCACAAAGGAAAACATTTGTTCTCTGCCCCATCTCTGAAACCTCTGATTTTGTACACTCAGATTGTGTCACGTATTAAACCAAAGCCCTCCATCTGGTTTTATGGTACTATGCATATGGAAGAGTACTTCAGAGAATCTTTTTTTTTTTCTGGATGGAAATACGGATTACCAGGCTTCTCATAATTAGACAATAGTCAAGTCTCCTCACAAGCAGAAATGTAGATGAAGTTCATCTAATAAAATGGTCTCTATAAATGGTTCAGCTGATAAATCCTCTGATTTAAGAGATTGCCCCAAAGTATTGTCCAAATCATTGGCCACATTTGTGAAAAACAAATTGTTGCTGGGATGGATTTAAGAGCTGAATTCTAAAAGCATATTTAAAAAAAAAAAAAAAGCTCTTGAGTAAAATTTTGCTCAAATCTTAATTAAAAAGCACTTATATTAGGCAGTTCACTGTTGTCAATTTATGCATGATTGCTTAACCCAAGTTTCATAATGTTATTATTCTTTTTATTGCTTAACAGTTAAATGTGTTAGTTATAATTTACACTGTTTTTGAAGAGCAAGGTCTTATAAAGATCATGAACTCCTAGAATTTTGAGGGGAAAACAGAGACATTTCTATTGGTAATTGTTATGTTAATTTATCAGTTGCTTTATCTGCATCATCATTTAGAAATTGACTGTAGTATCTAACATAATGTTTTAAAGAAATTTTTACTTCCTATCTGGTAATCACATTTTTGTTCCCCTGTTGTCTCTGTCCTTAACTGGGCACATTTGTGGCATCTCATCTCGTACTGAGATTTTAGGTTCTTTAGGCTAGAAACTGGTATTTTTAATGTCTCTGTAAAGTACAGATTCTGACCTAATGGGCAACTGGAGGCCTCTAGGGGTGTAATAAAATGATAATAATGAATTTGAAACTATTCGTTGTGTTCTAAAGGTACATCTGAAACGTCAACTATTGTAAAATGCATCACATATATAAGTCCAGGATTAGCAATTTGGGGTGAAAAGACTTTTGTTATTTAAACAATGCATTTCTGACAGGAATTAAACTGGCAGGACATGTTCTTACCCCTTCAGACCCAGACCATAGCTGTGCAACAGCCTGTAAACGTCAACTATTGTAAAATGCGTCACATATGTAAGTCCAGGATGACTGTTAGCAATTTGGGGTGAAAAGACTTTTATTATTTAAACAATGCATTTCTGACAGGAATTAAACTGGCAGGACGTGTTCTTACCCCTTCAGACCCAGACCGTAGCTGTGCAACAGCCTGCGCTCAGATCTCCTTCTACTGCAGCATGTATTTAACCTCCAGAGCTCCTTAAAGTTGGAGTGATTTTTTGCTCCTTATTCTTTTAGTTGTCTTGAAGTTCTCGTTGTCTGGTTAGGAATAGAAATACTAATTGTATGGTCATCAGCAATAAGTATTTTCTCTTAAAACAGAATTGAAGATGGAGCATATTTTTAATTTTGGCCCCGTTTTTTGGGCACTTACACTGTAAGCAGTCCTAGTGACATGAGAAAACACCGTGAAGATAAGGGTTCACAGCAGCTGAGTTTTAGAGGTGCCAAATAGTCAATTTTAGGACTGAGAGTCTATAGCCTGTGTATGTCACGTGTAGAGTAAAGGGAGCAAAGCATACTCACATCTTCAGGGTTTCTCTGTGAGGAGAAGCTGCTCCTGAGAGTTAGAACCCTTCTCACAGTAACTTGTGCTTTACCTTAATGCCACGATCTGTCTCATTCCGGCTTGAGTCTGTTGTCTTTGGTTTGTGCCCAAGCCACCAAGAGTTGATCCTGTTTCTGGTCACCGCTGATCTAGATAGGAGCTGGACTGGTGACCTACATATGAAGGGTGACAAATTTTAGTGGTTCCCTGAGCCAGCACTCTGCTCACCTGAATTCAGAGTAAAATGCCTGTTTTGGAATATGTTAAATTGATTGTTATTCATCCCTGCTGTGTTCTGTGCCAGGTGAGCCAGACGATGCATTTTTGTGTTGGAGGTAGCATAACCCTAACCTGAAGAGTCTGCAAAGTAGGCCTGCCTGGGGGGACCTGGAGCCATGGGGGTTGTAGAACAAGATGCTGGTCCCTATTCTGCACTTTCTGACAGGAGATCTGGGTGGTTTTAACCATCGGAAGCAAAAAAAAATTATCGTCAGTCTAATATGTGGGTCCAAGTGATTCACAAGTTTGCTGAAGTGTGCATGAGACAAATCCCATCTTTGCATGAAAAGAGACTGTCAGGCTATCGTGATATTAAAGGCATCTTGCTGGTGTATTGCACTCTGTGTCCTGGAGTCCCCAGGACATCCTGGCCAAACTTGAAATCAATCACTAGCCAGTGTGATAAACATTGTTTAAAATAACTCCTCATTTTTCCTCCTCTCCCTATTGCAGCCCCGCGTTTAGCTTTCCTCACCCCATTAACCCAGTGACGTACCAGCAAATCCTGAACCAGCAGAGAGGCCTGAGCTCGGCCTTTGGACACACTCCCCCTCTGATCCAGCCGTCTCCGACGTTCCCTCCGCGGCAGCACATGGCCGTCATCTCGGTCAACCCGCCAGCAGCCCAGATCAGCAGCAACAGCAACTGCGTCTCCGACTCCAGTCAGGTGCGGGCCGGCCGCGGGCGCGTGCTGGGACTGCCCGGTGTGCCGCGCACATCCCTGGGCACAGCCTGCATGGGAACAGAGATGGGCTCGCCGTGGGGTGGGGGCTGCCTTTGTTGGTGGCTGAACTGTCTCTGGTTTTGCCCATAGTTTAACTGTCTTTTTATTCATGTTCTCTCTTCATGTCACATTTCCTTCATCCCGACAAAATATTTTTGGATTTGTAAAAGACAAATGTTATGCCCTTTCTTGAACACACACGTGTACATATCTGTGCAAAAAACAAAGTCTTTGGTCTGTCAAAGCACTTAACATGGTGTGCAGGATCATCTCAGGCAGCAAATCTCCTTGAGCACATGTTAAGTACTATTGAAATCAATGGGATTGAGCACAGGCTGAAGTGTTTTGCTAGATAAGCACCCAAGCACTGTGAATCAAGCTTAGTCAGTTCATTCACTTTCTGTTTTCGTGCTGATGTAAACCATAGTGGTCATTTTAAAACACCTTATTCCTTTCCTCATTAACAAATCATTGTGTCCTACCTGAGTCCTCTAAGCATTTCAAGTACCATTCCTTATTTTTCAGTAATCACATTGTCAAATGACTTTCTCGCTCATAATATCCTGATTGACGGTTTTTACTATTAAGTTTTGCAAAACAAGAAGCTGGGTTTGGAAAATTAGAAATGCTACATTTGTATGAAACCTTGGATATATCCATGCATATACTTGTGCATTCGCACACATACATGCATGCACATACACACACACACTCTGAGAGTTAGTGAATATGTCTAATCAATTTTCCTCCCATTTTCTTTCCTTGGAAGTTTAAATTGCAATTGCTTTTCTCCCAAAAGACTTACTTCAGCTCATTTCACATCCATTTCAAGTTGTTGTTTTAGTTGTATTATACTGAACTTTTCAGACTGCTTTGTTGTTTTAGGGTTTCTCATGACTGCTGCACTGCAAACTGTTTGTTATTGAAGGCTATTTGATTGATTGGTTTTTGTTTTCTTCTCACAAACTGGCTACCAAAATAATGTGGCTGGCAGGAGTTTTGCCTCTGTTTAATAACTTGCACGAGCAATCTTGATCAATTAATGAGAACAGATTTAAAATGTTAATGTTCCAATTTTTATGCACATATAATTGAATGTTTTTTTCTCTTGAAGTGGTTCTCATTTTTTAAGAGCTTAGCAAAATACACATACCCTTTCCTGCACCCAGCATGAAGGAGCCCTCACATGTAACCAGAACCCTCCTCTCCTGCCGGTGTTCAGTTTCTCAGCAAGTCATTTCAAGCACATTGAGAAACACAGTCATGGCCTGGGTGGAGCTTGCATAATATTTTGATGAATTTGACAGGGACTGGGTGGCTCTGGAAGGAGGAGAAGCTGAGAGGCAAAGCGCGCTGCTGAGCACGCCAAGGCTGCTCATGTCCTTTGTTCTTGGCTTTCTAGCCCTCTCTCTGCCGTGCACAAATCTGGGGCACATTTTTCTCCTAGGCACATGCCCCAGACATGGGCTGGCTTTTGCCTCAGACCCCGGGCCAGCAGTGCACCATTCCCCTTTGCCACTCTGGGAGCTCATTTTTGGCTGTTTTTTTGTGAACTCCTAACGATGATGTGGGCTGCAGTGAATCCCTTACCCCAAACCCTGGTGCCACTTCTCTCCTGGTTTTTCTTTCCTAGAGCAAGCAGAGCAGCGAGTCAGCCGTGAGCAGCACAGTCAACCCCGTGATTAACAAGCGCAGCAAAGTCAAGACTGAAGTCGAGGGCTTGCCACCAGTGTCCCCAACCACACAGGTAATGTTTTTGGAGCAAGTCATGCTGTGGACTTCAGGAATAAGTTTTGCTGCACTTGGGAGCAAGGAATCCATGCCTGCAGGGCAGGCAAGAGTCTCTTGGTCTGGGAAGCCCTGCCAAGGTATAGGGGAGAGCTTCAGTGGATGAGGGCAGCATTCAGTGGGTGCTTGGAAAGACAGAAAGGAAAAGGGAATATTTCGAGTGTGACAACTTTAAAAATGACATCTGAGCTTTTCTACACTGCAAAGCAAGCAGTGCTGGTGTCTCAGAGCAAACGTAGATTGCAAGGGAATCTTGTATGTAGGTAAAAAGCTTGCAAAAAAAAAGGATTTCTTGATCCAACAAGGAATTGCTGCTAACAAAATTCTTTACACCGGTGACACAACATTGACACCAAGAAAGGCCCAAAGGCCTTTGCTTTCTTTCTGGAGCTCTGTGATCGCAAACTGTTTAATGGCTGACAGTATCCATCTGACCGTCCTTTATCACAACTGTAAACTATCAGGAGTGCTCTGGGCACTTCATTTTCATGAAATATTAGGCCATGTTATTGTCAAGCGAATGGAAGAGTTGATGACAAATTCCTCCTCCTGCCCTGGTTCAGGAGCAGGTCTCAGCATGATGCATGGGGACAGCAACATGTGCAGTCATCAGGGGGCTGGTAAAATTGATGAAGATAGCATATCAGGGAAAGATAAACATGCTGTAGTCAGCACGATTAGGGCAAAGAGGCATCTCTCTGGAGCTTTGAGTTTAGCAGTGCAGCTCTGCAGTGCTGCAAACACACATGCCCTGAAAAACCAATCTGGCCACTACCCAGGCTAATATTGCCACATGTTCATTTCTTGTAGCAGTTGAAAAAAAAATAATTCTGAAAGCTGTCACCTGCTTTCTCGAGTATCCACAGCACAGGAGCTATGGGAGGAATGGCTTGATGGCCTTGGTCCTCCTTTTCTCTGCACAGATTTGGAGAGGTGCATGCCCAGCAGCAGGGAATGCTTGTGCAGCAGCAGCCTGGGCCACCTGCACAGCCCGGCCTCTGTAATTTGTGTGAAATAAGGGCCAAAAGGGGGGAATAACCTAAAGCAGTGCGAGGAGATTTGATTGGAATAACGAGGGGAAATTAAGGACAAGAAAATGTCTGCTGGCTGTCTAATAGTGCCTAATGCTATTTGTGGAGTAGTACCAAAAGGGGAGTGTAGGCTTCACGTCTCGCAGCATTTCTGTGTTGACTGAAGATGTTGTTGGAAAGTACCTTGTAAGACAGTCTGTTCTTCGGTGAGAGCACAGGGTAAAAGACTGAATATAGCAGTGTAGTCTGCTCTTCAGCTCACCTGAGTAATGGCAGCACTCTTGTACCACCACAGCAGCTCCAGTACAGATTCAGATTAACACGAACTAGCCAGACGTGGAACATTTTAATTCTCTTCTGCAAATAAAATGTTTCAATTCTTTTTTTTTTTTTTAGGTAGAAAAACATTGGCAAAATAAACTTTTTAGTAGAAAACTGTAGTTTTCCAGAGATCAGACTTTGTGTGGAGAGAAACATTTCATCAGAAGTAATGTTCACAGCTCCACCATGTAGGAGCTTCAGGAAAGTTCTGTTTGAACTTTCTCGGACTCTGATATACTTTGAATCTCCAGAAAATCATCCTTAAATCACTACAATTTCTTGTCCCAGGAGACACCTTTTTTTTTTTTTTTTTTTAATTAAGAGCTAATTAAAACAAATCTCTTTATATCCAAACTGTTGAATTGAAAAGTCACATCTGGCATGCATATCATAAGCTGGTTAATGAAAATTGTTGAACCTTCATACAGCACATCTTTCTTTGCATCGAGCTCTGCTCTGCAGGCTGCTCATCATGTGGTCTTTGCCAAATGCACCAATCTCAGAGGGCCTTGAGGGCTCTCTGGTTTGTCCCTATGGAGCACCCTGCACTTGCAAACCACTGGGCAAGTCCTAGGCATGTTTTCTTGCTTATTAAAAGATGTCAGGTTAAGTTTAACCACCAAACTCTGTCTGCTCTGGGCTTTTTCATGCTTGTGCTTCCCCACTCCACCCAGCTCAGAAGTTTTGCTCCAGCAAAGAACAAAATGGGACTTCAAAAGGCAGCTTTTTCCTGTTTTCTGGACGGCATCTCCCGGAGTCCTCCCTGTGTCTGCCCGTGACCTGGCTGGAGCCAGGCACCACTGCCACCGTGGCTTGGGCAGGTTTCGTGTCTTCTCATTAGCCTGATGCGTCTCTTCCAAAGCTCTGGAACTCATTAGTTCACTGTAATCAAGGATGTTATATTGCCGCCCTAAGCACACTTTTGTGATCGGTTGATACCTGCCCTGTAATCTCTGGGTGACGGAGGAATTCAAGGAGGAAACAAGCTCACCTTATACAATGTGCTGTTGTGTGTTGCAGGAGCATCTGACAGACCTGAAAGAAGATCTAGATAAGGATGAATGTAAACAGGAGCCAGAGGTTATTTATGAGACCAACTGTCACTGGGAAGGGTGCACAAAGGAATATGACACTCAAGAGCAGCTCGTCCATGTGAGTAATGGTTGGGAGGAAACCCCAGCAATAAATCTGGATTTCTGTGCACTTGTCTTCATTTTTTATCACTAGCTGCTGTGCAGCCGGAGCTCACTCTGGGAGCCACTAAAGGTGCAAATCAGAGATACGGTGTGTAAACACTGCCAAAGCAGGTCGCTGTTCCCCGAGGAGTTTAGGCTCAGGAAGCCTCTCATAGATTATTTGATTTTGTTCTCATCTCAGCTGCTGAGGCTGCAGTTTTGGTCTCCCTTGTGCATAACCCAATAGAAAAGGACTCCATGCAAGGGGCCTAGTTGGAAACTGGGGACGAGAGGCTGAGCCCTTCGCACTTCTTTGGCCACTGAGCCACCTCACATACCCACACAAGCCGGAGTGACCAGGCAGTCCTCAGTTCTTGGCCAGGCCACAAAAGCCTTTTACACTGCCCTGGCATGAGCCTTTGGGCCATATCACCTAGGGGCTGTCAGCCTGCCCTGCTCATCCCTCCTGTCCGCAGGGTCAGAAATAGGGTACTTCTAGAGGTTAGAGACATGTTCCAGTGCCTCCAGCAGGGCAGAAAATACAGAAAGTGGGTTGAAAAATAACCTTTCCATAATCCTAGTAATGTCCCCAAACCAGTATCAAAACTGCAATTTACAGTTCTGATTGATTCCAAGAACCTTCAGTGTGTTTTGATTCACCTGGGGATTTGTCATTTGGTTTCCTTTAGTTTCTGGGGTTGATGGACCGTGCAAACGTGGAGCACATATCTGAGAGTTCGGACGCGATCAGTGCCTGAGCCCATTCCCTCCCCCAGCCCAGCCGCCTCCGAGACCTCGGCGTGGATCTGTAATACTCTGTTCGAGGGTCTCTGGGAAGTCACCAACCTCAGCAATCCTCCCTGCGGGTCAAGGATGAGCAAAATGCCAAGCTGAGCAAGTTTTGTGACAGGAGTCACTATCTCTTGCTTTCTCTTTGGCCTTTGGCTGCCCTGCTGTAGCTCGGCTCAAACCTCCCCAGAGCCCACGCCATGCGGTTCACTGGTACCGTGGCCCATGGTGAAGGACACACACACACACAGCAATGAGGAGCTGGAGTCTGAAATAAGAAAGACCCTCTTTCTCAAACACTGCAAAGCTCATGTCTGCTCTCACCTTATATATATATATATGTATATATATATATATATATATCTTCATTTTACTGTAGTTCATGTTTAGAGGCCACCGAGCAGGCATCCATCTCTGTTCTTCCAAGCTCTGCACCAAACATATTAGCCCAGAAAGAATGATCCGTTTGGGGCGTTTGCTCTTAAATCTAAGGCTAGCACTTGCCAGCTGCTGCCAGAAGTCGCTGGTTCAATTTAACAAATCCTGAGCGTAGGGAGACTTGGAAATCATTTTGAGGACCAAATGCATGAGATGGGTTTAAAAAGCTAAGACTGCGTATTCTGTTCAATGGGCTGCACGTTGCCTACCGCAGGATGTTGCTTTATTGAAGTTAAACCACAGCAGTCCTGGTGGAGGGGCCGGTTTCACATTTTGTCCATCAGTATTTTTGCTGTTTTTCTCTCAGATGTAAGAAAATCACTTTAACTCAGCCCAGAGAAAAATGCAGGGCAGATCTATGCATCTCAGCACAATTTATTTCCAGAGAAAACCCAAAGAAAAATATTTGACAAAATGTCCAAGATTTTCCTAAATTTGGAAGGTTATAAAAACGGAACTGTGATTACTAGCAACATGGGGTTGCGGATTCGGGATGCCCAAAATATACATCTAAATGAAATACAGATGTCATGGGCCTCCTTCTGAAAAGGTAACGTCCCAGCACGTATGGAAAAACTCTTGTTTATGTGCACGGAGAAGTAGCTGGGCGTGCAGGGTCTGTTCCGCACACGTAGTGAGCAACGTGCTTGTGGGAGGAGTGTGTGTCTATGGGAGAGCAGGAGTGAAGACAACCCTTCCTCTGGCTCACGCTGGGTTAAGGGGCAAACCGTGTGCGGCCCCGGTGCTAGCCCTGCTTTGCCCTGTCTGGGATGTGAGTCAGATTCCCACACCAAAGGAGCCGGCAGAGTTATCTTTCCAGTCTGGTCTGGATGTGGTATAACATGCCTGGAGGTCCCATGAGGGGTTCACCAGATTTCAGCCAGCTGAGGCTAAAATCTCCCCTCGGTGCAACGTCATAAAACCAGCATTGTTGGCAGCTGAGCTCCAAAACCCACCTTAGCCCCACTCTGCGTGCCGTAACCACCCGCTGGCTCCTGGTGCTCAGCCGTGGTGTCCCCGGGACGGGTGGAGCTCCCTGCATCGTGCCATGGCCCGCAGGACACCCAGCCAGCCCTGGGGAGGTGGCCCCGCTCTGTTTGCCCAGCGGTGCTCAGCGCAGTCCTGGGAGCGATGGCCCTTGTGTGGATGCCAGATCCCGGGCCTTGCGTGAGACTGCAAAGGCCGGTCACTTGGTTTTGACGAGTGTGTGTGTCCTGGTGCTGCACCACTACCCCGACAAAGTCTCGGTCCCATGCGACAACGTGTGTGCCTGGCCTTGACCGGCGGGGCGGCAGAGGGAGGACGGGGGCTGAAAAAAAAATTCAGTGCAAAAACAAAACCCAAACCCAAAGTGGTTTATTTTAGGATTTCCTGTCGGTGAATGTCTGCTGAAAACCCCAGAGCGAGGACAGGCATTATTTTTGGCAGCGAGACCCCATTCAGAGCAAGACAAGGCCACAGTGGGAGCAGCACTGCCCATGTGCTGCTCTCGGGCTCTGTTTATTCTCGTCAAGGTTTCATCTTCTCAGGGCTGCCAGAGACCCTTGTCTTCCTCATGGGGAGGCCGAAGGCACCATCCTGGTGCTGACTTTTCAACACCCAGGCAAAGGATTTTATGGGCCCGAGTAATTAGCAGTAATTGAGGCCGCGGAGTTTTCCTTAGCGCATACCTCATGGATGCTGTCATTTCCTGCCAGCCGCCGGCGCTCGACAGCAGGTGGATGCTGCCGGGCCGGCCTGCGAGCTGGCTCTGAATCCCACTTTTCTTCGGCAGCGTTCTAAAAAGGGCCTCAGCTGCATAAGCGAAATATGATAGGGCCTGACGGGGGTGAAAATGGCTGTTGATGATGCCGGTGTAATGTTGCTCGGAGTCCTTCTCCCTCCTGCCGTCAGCAGTCGTGTCGAGCAGTCTTGCAAGACACCAAGGGGCTCTTCTCCCCCTGCTACCACAGCATTTGCGTCTCTTTTGCTGGATCTAGGACAGATCTCCCCTTTTTAGCTACCCGCCCGGTGCGCTGGGTGCCACGTGCTCCTGCAGGACATGCCACCGGCACAGCACTGGTTAGCGTGTCCCTGTGCACCAGGATCTTTGTGTTACTTGTGCACCTGTGACACAGGTGCAAGGGCTGAGCACGCGTGCCCAGGAGGCAGCGGCCGCCTTTGCAGAGCGCTGGGTGTGCTCTGCTGGCGTCAGCTCTCCGAGAGTGACCTCCTTCTCCCTTCTGTCCTCGCAGCACATCAACAATGACCACATCCACGGGGAGAAGAAGGAGTTTGTGTGCCGCTGGCAGGACTGCACACGGGAGCAGAAGCCCTTCAAGGCTCAGTACATGCTGGTGGTGCACATGCGGAGGCACACCGGGGAGAAGCCGCACAAGTGCACGGTGAGCGGGGCGACACACGCAGAACATCTCGGCTCGGCGGGGGGACACTGTGCTTCGGTGGTCTCACACGTGGGCCTTGAGACACAGGCTTCAAGCAGGGCTCTCTCTGGGTGCCTGCCCCACTTCAGGGCTAACCCAGTTCTCCATGTTTATAGTTACCTGCAGGCAGCTGAGGTTGTGCCCTAGTGAGACTGGAAGTGATGGAAGAGGAGAGTGGTTAAGGAGTTAGTGAATGAAACTAGAGGAAACTGTTCGGGAAACCAGGGTCAGCTCTGCCACAGAGATCCAGAGTGACTCTGGACAAGTTACTTAAAGTGAAAGAGGGAAACATACAGACCATTTAGTCTCCTGAACCCAAGTGAGAAACCCAGAAACCCCACGCTGTGGGGACCACCTAGCCTTGGTGGTAGCCTTTATTCAGCACTACTGAGTATACCTGTGTGGGGCTGCAAGTTTCCCTCTGCCACGTTCCTGTGCATGGGCACAAGCCTCCCTCCAGCCTGGGAAGCTTGGCCAGCACCTCCTGCCTTTCCTCTTCCCACATGCACTTCAGCCCTTTTTCCTCCCTGGGGTCCAGCCCTGTCTCTTGATATCTTCTGCCCCCACCCTTCTCCTCCTGCCAGTTCTTTGTACCTCCTCCACCATGAACATTACGCTGTTCCTCTCCCCGGAGTCTTGGGAGTTAGTCTGTCTTTACGCTTGGCAGATGTCTGAGCCCTCCTCCGGTATCTTCCTCCTCTTCTGCTCCATTAGTCACTTCCAGCCCAGCTCCCTCCCCGGTTCAGCCCCAGCTCCTGCTTACAAATATTATGATAAGTATGATTTTCTTGCTGCATGACTCCCTTATCAATCTTCCAGGCCTGTGTTCATTTAATTTAGAGCGTAAGCTCCCTGGGGCACAGGGCCATATCCTTTGTTTTAATCTTCTAAAGCACCCTGCCCTGTTTCAGCCTGTTACCAATCTTCCATAAGAGTCTGAAGGAGTATTGATTGTCGGTGTGCCACGAGGGGAGCAGCAAGGGGAATGCTGGCCCTGCACTTGCAGCACTGTAGGAGCAGGCAGCGGGAATCAGAAGGCAGCACAAGCCCCCTGCTCAAGTGAGAAGCAGCAGGGAATGCATCCTGAGCAGGAAAAAGTGCTGCTCAGCGCTGCCTCTCTCAAGCACTCTGTGTTGTGCCGGGCTGGAGCAAGGACAAGGCTGCTGCGTTTGCAGTCTCAGGTCGTCCTCTGCCTGCTGGAGAGCGGCAGCCGCTCTGTGCGGTGCCTCGCAGCAACCCTGCCCAAGCCAAACATACCCCGGGTTTCTCACTGCAGCAGTGCACATGGCACCCTGCTTTGCCAGAGCGTTCCTGGTTCAAGCCTGCCAGTGATTTTTCAAAGTACCATTTGTTTCAGACAAGAAGTTTTGCGGTTCGCATAGAGCTACAGATGCAGCCTGGGATCCGGTCAGGGATTGTTTCAACAGCCAGAACTCCCCCTGGCATGATCAAATGCACGCGCAACGCCGAGGACAGCCACTTTGAACAGGCACAGGCTGCTCTGCTGAGAAGCCCTTATTTGAAAAGGGGGCCTCGTACTTTTGCTCTTGCTAACTGCATTTTTGTGTCAGTATCCAGCACAACCAAAATGGACAAATGAGTTGCCTCGTGCTGAGTTCCCTTTGTTTTCCAGCAAGTGGAATGATGTATTTTAGTAACCATAAGCAACTCAAGTTATAAAGGATTGTGTGCACAGGCTAAGAGAAGAAGGGAATCTATTGTGCTGCCTCAAAGTTGCAGCATGCTTTGTGGGCCAAATGTGCTAATGCAAGTTGATTGGGGAAGAGGAAGTGAATTCACTGTACCACCCTGCAGCTAGAGAAGGATTAAGCTGTTGAAGAATGTTCCCACTATCCTTGAAGAGATTTAGGTGTTTCAAGAGGGCAGGGCAAGTTTACCTTGCACCATCCCTGTCCCGGGCTTTAAAGACAACCTTGAGCAGTCCCTACTCCTCCAGTTGGCCAACACAGCAAAGTTACCTGGGTTATGTGGTTAGCCTGTGCTCAGGTCCCCAGGTGAGAAATGTGTGAGGACTTAGAAGAGATCTGACTGTGCAGGTACTGGCCTGTGGCATTTGAACTTCTTTAAGGCAATAGGCCTTTCTTTGCTTAGGCCACAGAGCTATATGGCAGAGAGCCCTATTTTGTTCCTTGCCAGTGTGCAGTCAGAGCAGGGCTGCCTCCTATGCCTGTGGAGTGCGAGGACGCAGATACAGCCCCTATCATGTCCCTCCATCTCTGGCCAAAGCGGCCAGACCCCACCGTCATGCATGGCCACTCAGCTGCCCACAGTGGGGTCTGATGCTGATCTGTGGCATGACGCGCCTTATTGTGATGACAGATTTTTCCTTGGCCAAGATGCAAACAGCAATGGAAAGTCCTGCCATGGTGGGACTGAATCTGCAGAGAGATTTAAGCGATCTCAGTAACATACAAGCTTACATACTTGCTGAAGTGTACTGAACTGTTGAAATATAAGGTGTACAGTGAATGCAGCATTAAGACAGAATTTGAAAAGGAGCCTTGCTTATGCTTTCATTTTTTAGAACTTCTTTCAATATTTGTAAGTTCCCACTTATTTAGTCAAAGAGCATTTAAGGCAGTCTCCTTGTTTTGAGTGACTGGTGGAATCCTTCCATGCTACAGACAGGGCAGGTGCGGAGAGAAACCTCCAGCCCAGCCAGAGGTTGAGGGTGGTAGGACTGACATCACCCCGAGTCTGACCATGTCTCCCGAGCTGCTCCTTCTCGTTGTGTGGGCAGCTGGTTTCCATCCAGTGGGAAGGCTGATGGTCTGTTGTGTCATCCAAAAATCCATCTGTCTTCAAGATTGAGAGTCTTGTTTTTAAAACTGGTAATGTTAGGCAGTCTGACCACAGCATCCTCTGAGAGTAGACCCAAGTTGTAATTTGGGAAACTTCAAAGCTTGCTAGATTTCTGCTTGTGTTTTAGAAAATGGTCTGGTCTTTCCAGCTCTGAAGCTGGCAGAGTTGCAAGGCTAGTCAAACTGTCTAGAAGCAGTTGGTCCTCCGGGAAGGAAAGGAAGAAGGAGAGAGCCTCCATCTCGGAGTGTCTTAACTGGAGATGCTGCAGATGGATGGCAGGAGGGACAGGGAGAGTCCTGGGAGCAGGGAAGGAGTGCAACTTGAACCTTGCTTGAGAAAACACTCTCTTGGTGAAACATCAGGCTGGGTACCCAACTGGAGCTCCACCTTAAATATGAGTCACTCCTAAGACTCTCAGCCTGCCTAAGGAAGGGAAGTTGGAAGTTCTCTCAACAAAGTGGATGTTGTTCCCTAAAACACAAGCCCTTTAAATGGAAGGAAGAAAAATGAGAAACAGATGAGAAGGGTTTAGGCAGGAGGGAAATCAGTTCTTTCTGGTTAATTAATCACTCCTCTTATGCTTTTTAATTTTAGTTTGAGGGTTGCTCCAAAGCTTATTCTCGACTGGAGAACTTAAAGACACACCTGAGGTCCCACACTGGAGAAAAACCCTACGTCTGTGAACATGAAGGCTGCAATAAAGCTTTTTCCAATGCCTCAGACAGAGCCAAGCACCAGAACAGGACACATTCCAATGAGGTAAGCCTGGGCTCACCACAGCTCAATGGAGGGCTTTTTTTAAAAATTTTGCTGACAATAAACATACACTTTACACACTGGACTCATGTAAAAAGAAACCTACTGTAATGAGAGGTTTTTCTTATTTTTTAATGAGATTTATTTTGCTTGAGAGCCAGACTACATTAGCTTTATATTTATGAAAACCATGTTTGAAATCATAAACAGATGTTAAAGTGTGCAAACTTTCTAATTGGCTTTGGAATTTGAGTGAGCACTTTCCAAATTTATAATTTTTAATAGTGCAAATAGGATCGTGCATTTGTGCATGTGGCACTTACTTCTGCTGTGGCACAGACTTGCAGTAGTGTAACAGCAGCCCTGCATCCGAGCACTCTGGAAGTAGAATTCCCTCCATCGTTTGATGTACAATGATAGAGCACAATGCAATGCTTTGTTAACCTTGGCTAATTAAGACCCACTATTAGTAGTCGGGGAGCAGAGGAAATTGCCTTTATTGTAACGCATGTGATGGTCTGTTGCAATCAACCGCGGCTGACGATTGAAATTTATATTACCGCTAATTAGCTGACAGGGGAAGAAAAAACAACACTCCGAAGTTCTAATAATGTTTGCAGCCGTGAAGAATTCAGTCTGCAGCCTAATTTGCAACAGTTAAATATAGACTATTGGAAAATGGAACGCACTTGCCACGGATGACAGCTTTTTAAAGAGATGCTGTGTCTACAAAGGGCTTGTTGGGCATATTTCTATCTCTAGCATAGTGTCAGTCAGTGATAATCAGAGCTCAGAAGGCTTCATAGATTTCACTTGACTTAGAATAAGAACTCAAAGCCTCAGATGCCCTTTTGTGCTGTGTGACCTAAAGGACCCAATGAATGACCATGATCCTAACATTCATTGAATTTTTTTGGGTAGGAGCGCAAATACTGGGAATATCTTTTGCCACTGGGCCACTTTCAAGCCAGGATATGGGTTAAAATTAACCTAGATCTGCATGGGCACTGGGTAAATTGGGGTTCGGGGCCATGCAGACCTTCAGGCTAGAAAGGACCAACATAACGTGCTGTCTCATCTCTCATCCCCTGAGCAAGCTATTATTCAAATAACCAGTGTTTGACTAAAACATCATCTATTCTTCACTACAGTTTCTTCTTCAGAAAGGTAGGTTGTCTTAATTTCCCCCCGCACTGAGAAAAAAAAAAGAAAGAAAAAAGAAAAAACAAAACCCCAAAACAAAAAACAACTTTATGATATTAGAAATTGCTTTTTTCCAGCCCTGGATGCCTCCTCTACCTTCATTCAGCATTGGATCCAGTGTCTCTAACTATTGCTATGACAGAACAGTGTTAAGTTGCTCTCCATCTTCTCTCTCATTAGAAGAATCCACTGAAGTATCCCACTGCTGCAGCACTATTTCCCTGTCCTTGAATCAATTTTGTGCCTCTCTTCCATCCCTAAGGATCCTGATGCAGATGGATCAAGACTTCTAGTACAATTTTCAGTACAGGACACTGTATTAAAAGTATCATCAAATAAATTTTTCTCATCCTGAAGCTTACTTTGCCAGTTTGAACATGCTGAAGCAGTGTGCTAGCTATTTTTGCACCACAGATCACTTGAGTTCTGATTCCTAGAGCTGTTCCAGGATCCCTCCTGGGGCAGACACAGCCTCGCCTTCTGTTGGCACAACATGTGTCCCGTGTTGCTAGATGAGAAATGTTTTATTTGGCTGCATTATTAAATGCCATTTCTTTGAATGAGTTGAGTTTACCAAGTGATCCAGATCAGGAGCTGCACCAAGTTGATGATGGCTCCTCCCTTCGTCTGAGCAGAGCTTGGACGCACTTGAAAGTCTGCTCCTTGTGCAAGAAGGTGAGGCTATGGAGCAGAAACATCAAACTCCTCATGTGTTGTGGATGCTGATCTGATATTCTGGCACTTGGCAGAGGCTGCATCCCACAAAATAGAGACTCAGATAACAGATATAGATTGCTCTGCTGTTGCTTCCCCCAGAGGATGCCAAAGCCTTTCCAGGTGCAGAAGCGGCATAGCCACTAGTGGTGGCCTTGTACCAGACCAACTGAGCCTTACCCAGGGAAATATATGGCACTGTGGATCTTATATTTTGACATCTGTGCTCACTCCTGAACTCAGCGCTCCACAGTGCATCACAGACATGTCCAGAGACTTGCAGGAGGCCTGTGGGACTGCACATAACAGCTCTGTGGGCCGTAAATATGACACTGTCTTGATGAGGAACCTAAAGCATGATTCTCAACAGCAGCTGACATCCCTCATGGCAAAGCAGAGTGCACTGGGCAGCAGGCCCAGGTGTGAGGGTCCAGCAACTAGCTGTGGCCATGACCTGTGGGTTACCAGACTGCACTGACACTTTGGCCCACAAAACCACACAGATGCAAAGCAGGGGGTTGTGGCTGTGAATATTTCCTATTACCCTTTGGTAACTCTGCTGTGGCTCCTAACTCCCTACTAAATATTTCCCTCTACATGCAGTGTTTACCTGGGATACACCACAGTTTCAGAGCAAGTCACCCATGTCTAGGTCACCCTTTAATCCCAGGTTCTCCACATGTGTTTCCAACGTTATATGACAGGACACAGTTACTTGTTCCAGTGTTGAAGTTTGCGTGGCAGTAGCTTTCATCTGGTTGTTGACATGGCACATGCACTATTTCCTTTTGAACTTCCAGTGAGCATTCACATTCTTTCAGGCAATACCCTGGGTGGTGATCCTGGAAAAGGGGCCTTCATTCTCTGATTGCTCTCCAGCACAAACTCTGAAAGGGGTGGCACAAGTCCATGCTCAGCCAAAGGACTAGAGTGACATTTTCTCTGAGTCAAGCTAGAAAAGGGTGAAATGTAGAACTTGAGCATTACTGGGTTCCTGGAGAGGTCTGCGCTTCTCCTGCCCTAAAGAGCAGCGTCACCATATGTGTATGGGAGGAGGAGGAAGGCATCTGAGATATCTATGTTGCTGGCTTCACTAGAGCACCCGCTGTATCAGGCATCAGTATTAAATAACTCAGAGGCATGTGAAGGCATCCCAATGAAACAGCAGTTGTACTCGGTTCAGCTGCAGAAGGCATGGCCTGGTGAAGCAGATACTCCTCTAACTTGCACCCTGTTAAGAGGAGTGTCATCAGTCCCAGCAGCAGTGGTCCTGTTTCCCTAACAGCTGATGTCTAAAAATCAGATACAGACATTAGACCTAAAGAATCTTAAGAATCTTGTAAAGTAGTCATTGAGCTGTTTAATGTAGATTTCTTTAGTGTATGTGGAGGGGTTTCTGTTTTTTAGAATAGGTTTTAATTGCAGCAGTGATATTTCTATAATGCTCCATCCAGAGCGTTACATGAGATTTATAAACAAACTATTTTACTTCTGGTGCTTTAGTTTACCCAGCTTTAATATACATTAAATATTTACCTCAATGGTGTGTTGCGAGGATTTAGTTTATTCAAGTGATGTGCCAAGATCAGCCAGGAAACATGCTTTTGAATAAAGAACAGACTTTCAGTGTCTTTTATGTGATGATGTTGGCTTTTTGCAATGAATATTTGCTGCTTTGTGTTTTTTCACTCAGACTTCTGGATGAAATTAGAAAACAGATAAAAAATGAATAGGAGTTGTCATTTGGGTTTGCCTTCAAACGACGTCTATCTGTTTGGGGGGTTTTGTTTGTTTGTTTTGTTTTGTGGATCTATTCCAGTATGTTGGCAGAAAAATACTGAAAGTGCCTGTGAGGCTGAAAGCAGAACTTGTGATGAATTCAGAGCTTCCAGTGCAGCAGCACCACCTTATACAACTGTGGTGCTAATGCACTTTGCAATTGGAAACTTGACTAAAAAAAAAAAAAAAAGAGAGAGAGAGAGAGAGAGAAGCTAAAATAAGAAAAGTATCTGCTGACTTCTGTTTTCAGCAGCATGGCTTTTTTTTTTCCCGTGGCAATCAATGATTCATGAATTTAGGGCTAGAGTCCCACTGCCTGAAAAAAAAAAAAAAAAAAAAAAAAAAAAACACATGCCTGTGGTTTGTTTTGCACAATAACAGATTTCAAGGTGACAGGTGCTGGAGTTGTGTGATGGATTGGGTAGGGTGAATCCAGGCTGGCTTGGTTTCTCTGGATTTCCACAACTAGAAGGCCTCAGATATTTTCCCAGCATAGACCCACCTTAGCAGAGAGAATGTGCTGTGGCCAGTCCCCTACATCACCTCCCTTCCGCCCATAATCAGGAAACATTCCTGTGGCCACCAGAGCAAATACTTACATGGAAAAGTAATATTAGGAAAATATTTCATGAATTCTTAGCTGTCTTTTAATTCAGCTGCTGAAAACAAGTTGTTTATCCAACATCAAATGCCTGGCCAGCTCTGTGTGGATCAGCAGCAGCCCATATATCATATCTTAGAGATCTCCCTCTTACAAAGCTCTGTGGAATAGATGCTCCATGTGTCCCTGCTGCCAGGAGCCATGGTCACTGTATTCTCTTGGTCCATAAAATGTACCTGGGAAATTTGGACTTCTTCTAAAATTAAGACAAGTTTTGCTTATATTGACAGAAACCCTATGTATGTAAAATCCCTGGCTGCACGAAGAGGTACACAGACCCTAGTTCCCTCAGGAAACACGTTAAGACTGTACACGGGCCTGACGCTCACGTCACGAAGAAGCAACGCAATGACGTCCACCCAAGGCCACCTCCGCTCAAGGAAAATGGGGACAACGAGGCAAGCGCCAAGCAAAGCAGCAAGGTTTCGGAGGAGAGCCCCGAGGCCAACAGCACCACGAGGAGCATGGAGGATTGCCTGCAAGTCAAAAACATAAAGACGGAAAATTCTGTGGTAAGCGCAGTGGCTCTTAGAAATGGTGCAGCCATTTGGTGTGTCAGTTTCTCTGGCACAACTGGGGCATGAAGCATCTGCATGCTGTTTTCCTCTCTGTGCAGTTGCCCTTCACCTACCAACACCCAAGAGTTTTAAGCTCAAGGATGAGGATGCTGGTCAGGGCAGAGTCCAATATATTTTGCACCTTTCTTCCCAACATCACCACCCTCACAGTCCTTAAGGGTTACGTGATGCCTAGCATCAAGCTTGGCCTGCCTATGCTCTGTGTTATGAGTAAAATGTGACAGTGTCACCATGTTGTGGTGAAATAAGCTCTGCCCTCCAAGCTAGTTTAAACTGAGCAGTAGACATAGGGCACAGGTTGATGAATGCATCTTGAAGGAGAAATCCTGGCATAAGGTGTCCCTGTTCTTTTCCTTCTCCCTGCCTTTTGGCACAACTATGTTGTGGACTGCCTGATGAACCTGATGACAGGAAAAGCAGTTGTTTTATTTTTATTGGGTATTTTGAAGCAAATTTAGTTCCTCAGGCCTGACCATCATACACAGGGTCACTGCACGACACCTAACCACCAGAAAAAACTGTATTGGGATGAGAGGGGGGAAATATAGCCAGGAATGAACATGGGAGCTAGGACAGATATTCCTCTTTCTGTGGTTCACAGAATATGGGCCCGTGGTCAACCATGATTACATTTTTACATCCCCACAAGTTGCCACTTGCTCAGGCAGAGAGTGTTGCTCCTGGCCAGGACCATGGCTTCGCAGTGTCGTGGTCAGCTGTGCTAATGGGGTGTGCATAGGCAATGGGCCCAGTCTCCTTCAAGCCTGTTCCGCTCCATCCAGTGAGTCCGTCTGTTCCGTGGCGCTCTGCAGCTGGTGGAGGAGATCAGACATTGCAACACAGAGCAGCATTTTTGGGTTTCAACGTAACTTTTCACTTTCATACCCAAAATTCTGGCCTCCTATCCCAGCTTGGTGTAGGGCAGCATAAGGGCTGCGTATGGCAAGAAAGACCTGCACCAGTGGAGTGTACATACAGTCCCAGGCTTCTCACAGAGCTGAAAGCACTCTGAGCTGCAAAGTATGTATTTTCTTGATGTGCATCCAAGCTAAAATATTGTTATTCCAGCCAAATATCATGTCTCAGAGGTGAAAATATTTTCTAGAAAAGGCTGAGGGATGTGTTGTTGTACAAGTCAGTAATGAGTTAAGTGTTTTGTTTAGGAAGGAATTGAGTATTTTCACATCCAAAGTGACTCTAATTGACTAAACAAACAGTTTTACCTTAATTAGGCTCTGTGTTGGGTTAAAAAAATGAGTGGAAACCATTAGATAGAATAACCTCTCTCCAATACTCTACCCCAGGCGTTTCTTCCCCTATGAAAACACAGACACGCTCCCTACCCCATTTCTCCTGAAGGCATGGGCTTGTATTCCGAGCACTCTGTGCTCTCAGGTTTACACCCATGCTGTCTCAGTGGTGGCAGGGTCTGTGCGTCTGATGTTCTTCTCTGCTGTCCCTGTCCAAAGCCGTTTACATCATATGTGCAGTGAGTGAGTGAGAAGTTCCACTGACTTTCATCATCATCATCAAAGTACTTTCTTTTAAGCCATATTTGAGTTTTTTCCCAAACCCTTCGAGACCCATGGAAAGTCTCTTCTAGGAGTTCCCACCTGGGTCCACAAAGAGGGATGGCAAGGGAAACTGGGGTAGCAAGGGAGGAAATGCTGGCAGTTTGTGTATGTGTGTGCACTCCCTTCTTCATTCTTTTACTAACGTGATCCCTTCTGTTAAAGTTGTCTTTGTTCTAACAACCTGTTCTTTATTCCCACTTACTTTTCCTTACTCTACCTTCCTAAGGACAGTCGGTACTAAGGTGAGCAAAGAAATCCTTTGTATTAAAACTCCTGTATAAGAGCACGACCTCCCCCAGACCTCCTGTCTCCAGCAACCGTGGTGGCAGGGGGTGGAGGTGGACGGAGCGATAGGGAAGGACAGGGGATATTTGCTGGTGCATAGGAAGGAGGAGGGCACAGTGCCTCAGGATTCACGTTATTGCATCGCTCCTGGTATTACGACTTGCCATTAAATCCTGGGATTGCCATCTCTGTCATCCTGATTGAAGGGCTATGAAGCCATTAGAGCCAGTCAGTACTGCCCATTAGGGCTGCTACTGAGCAAAGTAAGGCACTCCATCACCTTGCCGTCCCACCTTGGCCTGGGGCAAAATATGTTGCTTTTCAGCATTCCCATTTTCTGGCAGTTGCTGGAGCACGGGCCTCGAGCAGAGAACCCAAGCATCCCATCTGGTAGCAGCAATTGCTACCTCAGAGCAAGTTCAGACCATTTAGTGTCTGCGGCAAATAACCTCCTCGATGCGAAATGCAATTTCCAATGTAAATAAAATAAATATTTATGGTGCTTATCTGCCTTATCTGCAAGTGGGAGTTTGCAAACACTGAACCAGGTTTTTATCTGGTTGTGAAGTTTGTCAGCTAACCTAATTATATGTTATGATAGTTTAAAGAGAGAAATATGTTGTGTCTGAAATACTTAGGCCTTGATCCCGTGTTAGATAAACCAGTGCTTGCTGCAATATACCTTGCACAACCAGGTAATGTGCTGCTTTTCTTCGAGAAGTGTCTCTGCTTAATCTTTTGGAGAAGGAACTTTTGGTTTCTGTTAAATCATCCAGTTGAACACACCATATTTTCCAAGCTGAGAGGTGAGGGGTTGCAGATGTGTGTGCTCTTGAACACAGTCAAGATCTGCTTGTTCATGTAGTTGAAATAAGCACTACAGCTCCACCATGAAGCTTGAGCTGGTGCTGGCTCTACTTGAGCACGTTAGTCATGGTCGCAGCAAAAGCAAGGTGTGGAAACTACATGTGGGTTTGCAAGATATGGGACAGAGAGACTGTGTCATCCTCCCCTCCTCTGCCACCTCTGGTCCTGGTAGGTGCTGAACTGCCCTAGGCCCCCAGGGAAGGTGCTCCTGCCCTCTGGAAAAGCTTCTGTGGCAGAGAAAGGTAGTGAGGACAGGGAATGCCTCAGTGCAGCCAAACATTGTGAATGTCAGGTACTGTTTTTTCTCCATTGATGTTTCCCCCGCCCAACGCCATCTTTTTCCCTTCCCCAAGATGTGTCAGTCCAGTCCTGGTGGCCAGTCGTCGTGCAGCAGTGAACCGTCACCCCTTGGCAGCACCAACAACAATGACAGTGGAGTAGAAATGAACATGCAGAGCGGGGGAAGTCTGGGAGATCTGACAGCGCTGGACGACAACGCGCCTGTTGTGGACTCAACAGTCTCATCTGGTAACTCGACATTCAGCCTGCAGCTAAGGAAACACATGACGACGATGCAACGACTTGAACAGCTCAAGAAAGAGAAGCTCAAGACAGTTAAGGATTCCTGCTCATGGGTGAACCCAGCTCCACAAGCCAGAAACACCAAGCTGCCTCCCATCTCAGGAAACGGTAAGTTTTGGGCCTGGTCCCTGCCTTGCAGGAGTGTGCCAGGTCTTGACTCTTGTCTCATAGCCAGGAGTCTACCCTGCAGGAGGATCACTTCCTTTTGTCTCTGAGCCGTTCCTTGATAGATAGAGACATCAGGAAAAATGGAGAAATTAGATGTGAGCGCAACCATCTGGTGTTTTATGCAGCAGAAATCCAGATGCTCAGTGCAGCAGAGCTATGAAGAGAGACAGAGGTGTGGGTATCTCTTGTTCCCAGGGTTGTCCAGCACCAAACCACAGGTGTCCTCACCATTTTGATAGCACAATCAGAGCAGTCACAAGATTGCTCTGATTTATTCCAGCAGTAACATTTCCCCAAGGACTAATGTGCCTCTTATGCAACTGCCGGAGCATAGCAGCAATCCATCCAGTCTGCCCTGGATCTTGCTTAGACAGGTCTTCTCGCATTGCGAGTGCTCCAGGCTGTTGCCTGCAGCTTCATATGTCAGCTTTCCACTGGCTGGGGATTCCCAGTTTGTGGCATCTTTGCATTCCCTTTGTGCTCCTCTCGCTTTGCCAAGGAGAAGTCCCAAGGGTTGCACTAACCTGTGTTTAGTATGTCAAAGTGTCTTGGTCTGCTCTGGGAAGAGCTCCTGAGTTTCAGCTTCTGGCCTCCCAACCTCTTGTCCGTGAATGCTGAGCAGCTGTCCCAGTGAACAGCCGCATGTTGTCCTTGCAGCGTTGTTCACATCAGTCCCACATTTTCCTGGCAAGAGAAGCCCATACAGATGCCCTTCCTTAGTGTCTGAGCATCCTTGGGGTGCCCATTGCAAAGACTCTGCACCTCCTGTCCTCTTTGCCCAACCTTCTTGTTCTTTGAGCGTGGTCACAGAGCTAGAGGTGAAAGTTTGAATTCACTGTCAGGAAATGAAATTCAATATTGTTGCTGTAAAATATTTAGGGGTGGGCTGGTGTGTCTGTGTGTATTTCAGCACCAAGAACATTACCCAATGGAATTTATTAGCTAACTACATCTTTTCCTTCCCCACAACTTTCAGGCTCTATTCTAGAAAATAGCAGTGGTTCTTCTGCTACGCTGCCTAATCCACGAATAATGGAGCTGTCTGTCAATGACGTTACGATGCTGAACCAGCTCAATGAGCGCCGTGATAGTACAACGAGCACCGTCAGCTCGGCCTACACCGTCAGCCGCCGATCGTCAGGGATTTCCCCGTACTTCTCCAGCCGCCGCTCCAGTGAAGCTTCCCAGCTCGGGCATCGTCCCAACAACACAAGTTCTGCTGATTCCTATGACCCGATCTCCACGGACGCCTCCCGTCGCTCCAGCGAGGCCAGCCAGTGCAGCGGGATACCAGGTCTGCTCAACCTCACACCGGCTCAGCACTACAGGCTGAAAGCCAAGTATGCTGCTGCCACGGGGGGCCCTCCTCCAACGCCCCTGCCAAACATGGAGAGGATGACGCTGAAGAACAGGATCTCACTTATGGATGGACCAGAGCCCACCTTGCCTTCCCTCCGCCTCCCGCCAGGGCCCAGGCGTTGCAGCGATGGTAACACCTATGGCTACACGTCAGCCACAGCATTTCCCCACGAGGTGCCGGGCAACTGCACAAGGCGGGCGAGCGACCCCGTGAGGAGACCTGCTGGAGACCCCCAGGCCCTCCCTAAAGTTCATCGTTTCAACAGCACCAACAGTATGAACCCCTTCCATCCTCCTCACCCCACGGACAGGAGGAATTTCAGCCTCCAGAACTATGCACGCTCAGATGGGAGCCTCCCCCGGCATGTCTACTCGCCCCGGCCACAGAGCATTAGTGAAAACATCGCGATGGAAGCCATGTCCAGGGAGTCGGAGGGGAACATCGGAGACGATGACATTATGCTGCCAGACGATGTGGTACAGTACATCAATTCCCAGAGCAACGGGACAGCAGCTGAGAGCACTTCCATGGGGTACAGCAGCGAGATGCAGAACTTCCAAGGAAGTGGGAAACTGCAGGCCCCAGCCTTGCCCAGCCAGCGCAGGATGGCCGTGGCCGAGGCAAACATGAGTCATTTGGGTCCAATGATGGCAGAGTGTCCAATGAGCTTTGATGCTGCCTCAGACATGAGTAAAAACAACATGCCTGTCCAGTGGAATGAGGTCAGCTCAGGTACGGTTGATATCATGTCCAATCAGTCAAAACAGCAGTTTTCACAAGGAAACTTGGCTGTGGTCCAGCAGAAGCAGAACTTTGGTCAGTATCAGAATTACAACCAGCAACAGATGCAGCTGACAGAGAACAGCATGAATGTAACACAGCAGAATTTTATGCAAAGAAACATGGGCATGGATGGGCAGAGGCTAAATTGTATGCAGCGGCAACAGCTGATGAACCTCGGCCCTGGAATGAACCCTGACCTGGGCTCACACGGAGGGTATAACCAACCTCATCAGATGCTGAGCCCTAGTGCAATGAGCAGCAATCCAAATCAGATCTCTCCTTCTTGTAGCAGCATGGCAGTGAAGTCCGGTCCCCATGTTCACCCTCAGCAAATGGACATGGCAACCGACCCTTCCTTAATGGTCAGCAGCAACAGCGACCGCGCGATGCTGAATCAGGTCATGCACGAGCAGAGTCAGCAGAACTACTCATCTCAGCCCACCCACCTGAACTTCCCCATGGCTCAGGAGGTCTTTCCCCAGCCCATCATGACTTCAGCCCAGCCCAGCTTCGAGCCTCAGCAGAGCATGGTGGGTCCAGCTACGCAGGCCTACGCGCCCGGCATGGTGCAGCCTCGTCCGCCGCCCGAACCGAGCCCGGCCAGCAGAGCCCGCGGCGTCCGCACCGTGCAGCAGCTGGGCTACATGAGAACTCCCCACGGCACGAGCAACGCGAGCCCCGGCCAGGAGGCGGCCGAGGCTGCTCATAAAAGAACCAGCGACATGTTGCCAGCGCCGGCCCAGCAGTGCGCGGATGGCGCGAGGGAGAACAACCTGATGTACTATTACGGTCAGATCCACATGTACGAGCAGAACAGCAGCTTCGATGCCCACGCGGACTGCAGAGTCAGGCAGCAGTGCGCGCTGAGCGGCAAGCCGGCCGCCCTGCCTTCCCCGGGAGCCAACCAGGTGTCCAGCACGGTGGACTCGCAAGGTCTTGAGCCGCCCCAGATCGATTTCGATGCCATCATGGACGATGGGGACCATTCGAGCCTGATGTCGGGCACCCTGAGCCCCAGCATCCTGCAGAACCTCTCCCAGAACTCCTCTCGCCTGACAACTCCACGAAACTCTCTGACGCTGCCCGCCATCCCCGCGGGAATCAGCAACATGGCCATAGGCGACATGAGCTCCATGCTGACCACGCTGGCGGAAGAGAGCAAATTCCTCAACATGATGTCCTAACAGCCAAGCACAAGGGCTTAGCGCTATCCAAGGGCCTCTGTGTGAAGCAGTTTTATGAATGTGCTTTCTAAAAATAACCTGTTTCAATAGAGTAGATTTTTTTATAAGTATTAAATACGTTAAAGGGATTCAAAGTAAAAATAATTAAAAACAAGTCTCTGTACAGAGTTATGTAAACTATATCCAGGCAGGTCAGCACCGCAAGGGTGCACCTCTAGTATTGTTTTTGGCTTGGTTTCTCAGAGCACTGAATGGTATCACCGCCAAGCGAGGAGACTGCATGAGAGCGGTTAGAGATGAAACCCTCCCTCCCTGGCACCCTGTAAATAGCACTTGTCATTGTTTCCTATTAGTTATGTTTGCAAAAATACCATTTTCAACCCACCCCAGAAAGAAATGGGAGGATGTGGTTTTGATCAGAATAAAAGCCATACTGTGTATTCTGCTCTGATGAGAGTAGTGTTTAGTTATGTCTCCAAACAAGCCCTCTGCCAGCAGTATTGTTTTATAGAGTAAAAACCTTTGTACCTTGCAAAGAGCATTGATTCCAAACGGCTTCTCAGCAAAGTGCCTTACCATGCTTTAGTGTTAAGTAGCCAAGGTCTCTCTTCCTTTAAAATCAAGTATAGTGTATTGCCAGAAGCGTATATAAAATGTACATTTATAAAAACATAGTGGTGTTTTTGAGAAAACATTGGAAAGACACATTGATGAGACACATGAAAGGTGAGTGCACACTTTGATCAGATGTGTTTACAACGTGGTTTATATCAAGTGCAGAATGGAGCAGAGGCCTGGGAACAGCAATCACGGGGAAAAAAATCCCCTGTGGCAGGAAGGCTCCAGCCTGCAAAGACGGATCCACACGCATAACTTTGCACCCTCTGAGCAGCAGCGTCGCTGTGTAGTGACTTTGTGCTGGGCGCTGGATGCCTTTCTAATGTCAGCTCACTAAAGCGAGCATTACCATATCCCTGCGCCGCTCGGCAACGTCTGCGCTTTGAGCTTTCCTTCCTAAGATGCTCACATACCAAAGTGATGGTGATGAAGAGACTTTTATGATCATGTCTGCCCTGTCTGCACCGTGGCACAGTAGCGGGAGCTCATTTGTCTAGCAGGGGTTCGTCTGTGTAACATGTTCCATGATTATCTGTTTTCAGCCCAGGTCCACCTGGCACTGAAGTCAATCCTAGCTGCATTATTTATTTTGCTGTTGTTAGACAAAAGGGGGTAGAGGCCTTGCTGAACAACTCAGTTCTCTTCATCCTGATATCATGGCATTAAATCATTTGTGCCCAGTATGTTCCATAGTTGGGGACAAATGTGACTTCCCTCAGGATGAACAGACTATCAGTTTGGCCGTATCATGGGTGAGGACTTAGTTCTCTCCTGCCCATCGATTTTCTCCCCCTCATCCTGATGTGAGGTTCCCAACGATGTCCCATCCCATTCCCCTGCCGGGACACAGGGTTGCTCTGGGAAGTTGCTCTCTGTTGTCCTGAAGTCCCAGCTTTCCTTTTGCACAAACTGGTGTCTGGCTTTCTGCTCCCGGCATGACCTCCGGCTGGCACGAGGATGCCCCGTGTTATTGCCGGGCAAACTTGGCAATATTGGGTACCCCGAAGGCTGTGCACAACAACGGCCAGGTGGGAGAGCCCTGCTGCTGGGTGGCTCCCGTGTCCCACTTGTGTGGGGAGGTGCCGCTCAGCATCCCCCCCCCCCACGGAGGGGGGGGCCCCCGGGCCCCCCGAGAGGGCTGCCGTGCTCCAACTCGTCACCCTTCTCGGCCCCTGGGACGCCCTGGCTTCACAAGGACAGTAAAGCAAAGCAAGGTGTCTGGCTGTTTGTTTGTGCCTGTGAAAGGTGTGTTTAAAGGGATTGTTTTATAGTCCGCTGTATATATTGTCCTGCAGTTACTGACCTTGCCCTTGCTTTGCATTTAGGAAAAGAGGGCAATATGTATTTTAGGACTTTGTATGTTGTCCTGGATGCTTGGAGTGCAATTGGGCATCCCTTGTATTGAGAAGGATCAGACCTTCACGTGTCCTTTGACTGCTTATCTGATTCTTTCAACAGCTGTGTAGGGCAATGGTGGCTCTTGAGTCCCTCTTCGCAGATATCTCCTTAGAAAAAAAAATCCAAAAGCAAAACCAAATCTCCAATGACTTGAGATTTCTCAGACTTTCCAGTGGTGGTCTTCCTTCATTTACTGAAATAGTATTATAATAACCATTCCAGCACTGTATATATTATGTATAGAAGACATCATTACTAAAAGTACTGTAGGTGAATTGTTCTGTCAGATTTATATCTTAAGAACATTTTTAGCTGTTTTCTACATCATAAGAACGGAGGTAACATGCTGAACCTGTATATAAACCTTTTGTACATTAAAAAGTAATTTTTTTCATAATTCCTTGTGCCTATCGTTATTGCTTTTCATTGGGAATGGTGGTTGTCATTGATCATTGGTTCATACATCAACACAGTTGGACTCCTGCAGAGCTTGGGAACTGCTGTTGAGGAGGTAGACGGTCCTCACGTGAAATGGCCCTGCAGCAAGGAGTGCCCGGTCAATGATGAGATGGAGGTGGCAGGCGCACCAAGACAGTGAGGCTCCTGCCTCTATCTCCACCACC